CATTTATATAAATTGGAACTTTGAGCAATACTTTGCCTTGGACTCTGATTTACTTTTGGATGCTATTTGGAACCCTGACATTATGTCTTTAATAACGATGGAGGTGTTAGTTTGTTTGAGTTTTCTTCAAAGCTATTGCTAGGCATGAGCAGTGTGAGAACCTTAAAAAAATCATGTGACCTGAAAATTGACTTTTATATAAATGAGGCCACCTTAAAATAATTTTCTTCTCACTTACTGACAGAAGTTCCAGTCTCAATTTTGGTTGTACATTGAGGATTCATTGAGTAGCATATAATTATATAATAATAGAGAATAAAAAATTTAAAATGGGGAAAAAAGTACACCCATCTAGAGTATGGATGTTTACCTTGGTTTTAGTTTTAAAACATTTGAGAGTGCGGTTGTTTTGAGGCTTTTGTCAAAGAAATAGCATAAAGCATAATAAATATAAAACTTTGGCATTAACATTATTTTGATATTGTTATGTTTTTTTATTTTTATCTTAACAAATATTTTTTTTATTATCAGATACCAGCTGATGAAACTTGTGTCTTGGAAGTACAAGGCTTAGAGGCCAATCAAAATTATGTATTTGCAGTTGCAGCCTATGACTCAAATGGAAAAATTATTGGTGATAGCATTGGAGAAACAACTAAACCAATTCTTGCCTATCCTCCTCTATCTATTGCTATTGTCCGAACATACCTGATTCAGGTAGCGTATAATACTTTGGCTTTGATAACTCCATTTCTTCTGTAATCCAACTCTCAATTTCAGAGAACATATCCTCTAAAAACAAGATTTCCCCCCCCCCAAAGTAAAATATTTTTACCCCTCCCCCCAGTAATTCAGTTATATTTTTACTGTTAAGGAAAGGACACTATTTATTTTAGTATTTTTGGGATCCTAATTTAATGCAAATCCTGTATTTTTAATATTTTTAAAATATTGTTGCAAGTTTTTATATAAAGTACAATTTTTTAATGTATCTTTTGCATTATTCTGAATTGAAATTACCCAGCTTTCAAAAATTTATAGGAAAAATTCTCAGCAGCCAATTCTGCTGAACATTTTTTACATTGCTTTATCTGTAGCTTATATCTTTCACTGTATACTTCCCTCCTGGCCAGAGATTTAGCTTGTGAGATATCACTACCAACCCTGATTTATTCAAGTTTACTGTAATCTAGGATTTCTGACTTCATTTCGTTTAATTCCATTACCGCATCTTGCCTTCATTCCAACAGGTTCCAATGTAAGGCATATAAAATAGATTGTGAACCTGTCCATCCTGCTACCTTATGTAACTAGAATTCCTCTTTTGTTTTAAGGAACCTTGTGTTTTAGTTTGTATAAAGCTAAGAATATGATTATCATTTTATTGATGCTGTCATCAGCTTTACTGATTATGTATGATAATTTCAAACAAGCATAGAAAAGATATTTTAAAGCGTAACTATATTTTTAGTCTGCTTTTCAGATTGAAAACTATGCATTATGCAAAAAAGCATTTCAACCACTCTGGGATTATTTTGTCACAGTGCCTTGTACTCCTGTTACTGATGTCACTATAGTTTCTGTAAGCAACACTTTGTCTGTACCGCAGAACAGGTAATTAAAAGAGCTCCTTTTCAAATTATTCAGTTTATATGATTATTTTTGATAGTGAATACTGTCTCACTTTTAAACTGTTTGACAAATGTTTCTAAATACCTAGAAACAATTGTCAAAACATAGGGTCTTAAAAATAGTCATATTTTAATAATTACACATTTCTTCAGTGGTTATGTTTTGAACAATGTAGTTTTTTTGAAAATACTGTTCCTATAAAACAAGTAAGTTAAGACTAGTGAAATTGTAGAAGGAGGAGCCACGTTACGATATCACAATGTGTGGTCTGCCATTGACACTTTTGCTGCTGGACGGTCCATTGAGACCTAAACCATCCCGTAGAGACGGTGATCAGGAAGACAAAGCCTTGCTGGTCTCAGGGAAATCGCAAAGTCCCTGATCGACTCAAGGGAAGTGCTTCAAGCCGGTGGTAAACAGGTAGCCCCAAGTCTGATGAAATCGGGATGCTCCCGAAGGAAGAAGTGAAAAGAGAAAGTGAGTCCATCTGGTGAGATATTTTTTCTATTTTGCTAAAGACTGCCCGAAGAAATTTTTCTTTAAAGCCAAATTAGATCCTTAAACAAAAGAACTGAGNGAGCCAGATTGTTGGGGGCAATATGCTGACTCTGTAAACCGCTTAGAGAGGGCTGTAAAGCACTGTGAAACGGTATATAACTCAAAGTGCTATTGTTATCTCAATTACTGAGTTACTCAATTACAAACAGAGCCAGTTACAGGTATTTTATGAGAGACTACAGGCCTATTGTAGCCTACATTTCATTTATGGTTAAAAATCTTTATTTTACTTTATCCTTTACTGCAGTTTTAGCAGAAGACGATTCTATGTTTTCAGAATACTGCACCAGTAACATTCCTTCATTAATACAGGTATTTTTCCCTTAACAACTACTATAGATTAATATTTGTAGATTGCCTATAATTTTGAAAAACCACTGATACAGTACCAAGTGAAAACTGTAATTAAAAAAAGTTTATTCCAAAAAAGAGAAGATAACTAAATACTGGAAAGGCTAGCTGTGTTTCAGTCCAGAAATAAGAATTCAGCATGTGAAATGTTAGTTTCAAAGAAAAGAGTTACACTCTTTTTTTTCTAACTCGTGTAAAATCCAAAATAGAGACAAATTCCCACATTATAGACCAACTGATTTTTCCTTTAAGAATTTCACATGCTGAATCAGAAATAGCCTTCTATTTCAGTGATTGGTGAAGAAAGAAGATTTTATTTTAGTCTTTTCATTCTGTGGCATGGCTATTAAGAAGAATAGCTTTTGGAACAGCTAAAATTTAAATTGAATTATCTTATATTAAACAAAGCAAAAGAACCTTTATCTGCTCTAGCCAATCTAATTCACTCTTAAATGGTGCCAGGTACATCCCCTCTTGCAGTATTAATCATTACCTAGACCCATCTGCATGTCACCATCTTGGAGGCTTTCACCAGCTAGGAGGGACAAGAATCTTAATAAGCAGATAGTTGCACTGATAGCTCCAAAGACTCTGTCCACTTCCTCAGGGTCAACAGAGTGAAATGATTCCTTGATAATTGGGCATATACATTCCCTTAGGTCTTGGCTGGGCTCAGAGTCTTAATTTGGCTAGACATATTTTTGAGAGGAAAACTCCACTCTCTGGTGTCAGTGAGGTCTCTGACTTGTTCTCTCCAGAGAGTTCACAAATAAAGAGGGGTGGAGCCTTTTTGTTAACCAATCTGGCATTCATCAGTCTGCCCCTCACCCAGCTATCCTCATATGTCAATCTATCAATGCAAAGTGTGAGGAGAAACTCCGGGGGGGGGGGGCACTTAAATAATAGCTCTCAAGGCCAGCCAGAGCCCTCACACTCTATACCTCCTCATTCCTACAATGTGCCCTCCTTAGTAACTGGTCTCTGCCACTGAGCGGTTAGGGAGGACCCCATGCATACTTTTGTCTCTCACTCTTTTTAAAATGTTATGTGTCCTTGTCCAGAAAGAAAGTCTTTTAAACATATCAATTTACCTTGAGGTTGTTAACTAGTCTCCACTGGAATTTTTAACCAACTCAGCTGTATTTAATATAGTGGTGCTGCTCAGAATGTATTTCTTTTGCTTAAGACTTAGAGTTTCACAATTTCCCCAAATTAACAACTGGAAATAATAGATGTCTTTTTATTTCTCTTGGTTTTCTCTGTAGTCCTTAAAATAAAATCTTAGAAGCAAAAATTAATTGCCTTTCTCTCATTTTTGTCTACATTAATCAAATGTATGGATATATTTCAGAAACCTCCCCAAGAACAATTATTTTTGGCTTATGAGTATATTGACCGAGCAATTAAAGCAATTAATCAAGCTCATGTACTAACAGTTTTACCTGATGGGACATCAGTGCTTGATAATTATTGTAAAAAGGTAAGATGTTTGAAGTAACAGATCTCTGCAGATTAGCTAAAAACCTAACTGTCTCTGAGCAATTGTCCACTGATTACTTATAGTTTTGGCAGCATAGTCAGAAGGATACTTTTTTTCCCACCTTTGTCAGAAAGTACAGACGAGAAAACCATGATGAATTGATGAAACACAAATTTATATTTGGAGGAAAAGAATAAGCACTTGAAGAAACTAATTAAACATGGTTAGCTCTGTTTGCTTTGGGATTATATAGTAGCCGATAGGATAGGATAGGAAATGTACTGCAAGTGGAATAAGCAATGAATCCAATTAAATAGCAACATATCCTACCAGTTAATTTCCCCTAACCAGTAAAGAAACTGAAAACCAGTTGGATATTTCAGCAAGACAACAATCTAAAACATAGTTAATCATGGTTCTACTAAAAAAAGTACTGAAAAGAAACACACAGCATTATTACAAAAATTAAGAATAAAGCTGAAATTGAAATGTCAGAGTTTTTTTAAAAAAATCTAACCCTTCTAGTTATTCTTGGAACAGTATATTAAAAGAAACACAGTATTTAATTATGATGGCTTATTTCTGAGTTAGAAAATATTTTTTTCTGTTTTTTGTGGGCATCACCCCCCAAAAAACCCTTTATGATTTGTTTTTATTCATACTTGTGATTTGTGTTATACTAATTATTACTCTTGATTTTTAATTGTTTTAATAGAACTAGTAAAATATTCCAAAAGAAAGCTGAAATAGCCATTTTGAAAAAAATGCTTCCTAAAATATATAAAGATGAATTGGCAAATTTTCTTTCAATCAGATTACAGAAGATGAGGTTGTGAATAAAACATTATCATCTGAGAATGAAAGATCATCAATAGGAAACAATTTTATTATGGATCTACACATTGAACTTATTCAGGCTCAGCACCGATTAGCAGTTAAACTACTTATTGCAACTCAAGGTAGGTAAAGGGGATATAAACACTTTTTGGGAATTTCATTTCACATTTCATACTGGAGGACCATTCCAATTTTATTATGTTTCACAAAGATGAAAATATAACTTTTGAAATGTTTAGTATTTATTTATTATGTCTTTATTACTTATTTATTATGGATCCAGATTATTTTTAATCATGGTACTATTCTCAGTGAATAGTATTTATGTATTTCCAGGATAAAGTTGTAAAAAATGATATTTTTCCATCCAGGTAAATATTTGCTTTGCTTATGCCACATATTAGAGACTTTCTAACGTGGCCACTGTTATTCAATGTTTACAAGTCTGAAATAAATTATATTGTCTTTTTTCTTTTGTAAAGACACTTCTATGCTTTTTATATACAAATCTAGCTGAATAACGGAGACCTGTCACATTTTTTTCTGATTGTATGTAATCAAAATGCCCATCTTGTTCAACTGCAGCCTTTTGTGTCTAAAAAAATAGGTGGTCAGTGAACAGAGTTGGGTAGAGAATAGCATCAGAGTTGAGGAAGTGGCTGGATATTTCTAGGTTGGAAAGAAGTTGATATGAAGAACAAGATGAGTCTTCGATGGAAGGAATGTCTGCCTAGCAAAGGGGAGGAAAAAAATGGGCAGTAAGGTACACTGGAAGATGCAAGTATGTACTCCAGTGAAACAGCAGACTTTTCTTTATTTGTGTCCAAAAGCCTGCCATTAGGAGGGGTCCTATAGTTATTTGGGGTATATGAGACAACCAATCTGTCAAGGTAGTAGTGTAACTATTTTAAGAAAACTAGGACAGAGAAGCAGATAAAGCAGTTAAGACAGATAAATAGATAAAGCTGGACCAGAGACCACCAAGCATGGGTTCAGATTATTAATGATTCTCCTTTCTTGAATAAGAATAAAATACAGTTGTAAATATAAACCAGAGTAAATATTGAAAAAGAAATATAAAATAATTTGAAAAATGAAAGAAAAAAGAGTCTTAATGGACACCTAAACCATGTCACCTACCATTTAAGGTACCATTATATATTTATGTCATGTAAGTGTTAATACAGCAAGCTATATTTTACTGTGCTTTGCAGTATATGAGTTAGTTCTAGAACAAACATCTAATCCTGTTTAAAAAAAGGGACAAAGTTTCACTATTTTCAGTTCATCCAGGTCATTGATGTTTTGTGATAATCACAGTACATCGATAGTAAAAAAAGTCTATTTTGCAGTTCTTCTGAAATAATTATATACAACCTAAGCATTTATTTGACATTTGAGCAGACTTGGTTCCTTCATTACTTCAGGGTTATAGTTTGAGAAGCACAGATGTTTGGCACCTATCCTCAAATAATCAAATCTCTGGTTTAAAAAAACAATACATATATTAGATTATTATCTATTGATATTAGATATTATTTAAAAAAACATTTTGAATAATCTGCTAGATCTGTTTTGAGGGCATATAAAAGAAACTGCATTTGAAAGTGGTGGCTTCTACTTGAAAGAAAAATCAGAAGGTAAATATTCCAAAACCTACCCTCGGTTAACAACAGCAATTGGCACCAGAATTTCCAATATGTCGTAAAGCTTAATCATGGCAGTTCTGGCACTTCCTGTTTGCTGTCTTTAAGCAAATTACAGTAAGTTGTTAAATGAGGACTTCATGTGGTCAGCCATTACAATTTTCTGGCTTCCTCATTGACTTTGCTTCTGGGAAGCTGGCAAAGAAGATTGCAAATGGTGATCATGTGACAGCAGGCGGTTACAATGGTGTAATAGTGAACTGGGCCCTGAGTGCTCAGATTGCAGTCACATGACCGCAGAGAGACTGTGAGGGCTGGGACTTCAAGAACCAGTCATCAGTACCATTTGTTCAGTACAATCCAGTGGTGGGTTGCAGGCAGTACGTCTCACCCACCTGAGCTCCTTACCGGTCTGTTAAGTCTTCTGTGGTTCTGTGCATGCACATGCCACGTACAGCGCCTGTGTGATGCTCCGCTGAGCAGCTGGAGCGTTGCAGAAGTGCTAAGACGCATGCGCGCGCTGCGTGCGTCCATGTGGATGCCACTGGGTTCGTTCCAACCGTACTGGTNCTCCCTCCCTCCCTCCCTTCAATTTCCATAGCTGCCCAACTCAACCAAGTGACTCTGGGCAGCTTACAGTTCTAAAATTATAAAACAATTTAAATAATTTAAAAAGCATTAAAACAACAACAATATCCACAAAATAAATGCTATGTTCTTTGATTTGTTGTTTTTCTTCTTTTTGTAGGCTAAATTTGGAAGCTCTGCCACAGACATCTCCAAACCTCTTATATATGTTTCTGAGAAGTATTTTTATCATCAGTGACATTAATGTCAATGAAGGAGGTCTCTTCTGTGATTCTATTTGTTTCAATGAACTTAAGTATAAAAGACAAGTATGTGCTATGCAACATTAGTCTTTTTGATGTGATCTTATTTTTCTTGCTCTTAATATTCTTACCACAAGTAAAATTCATCTACAGAATTATATGCTGGGTAGAAGGCAAATATCTTGCAATTCACATTTAACTTTCCATTATTGAAAGGATACCTTAATGAAAAATAGTATGTTTTAATACTATTTTAGAGAAATAATTTTGAGCTTTGAAGCTATGAAGTTGCTAAGTTTGTATTTTCTTAGCCCTGCCCAAAGATTTGAATGATTCTACATGTTTATGACTATGATTAGAAACATTCTGTAGTCAACTGAGAAGAAGTGAGCCAGCTTACTTTTATGCATTCTGTGGAACTGAATGTAGAGGAGGATGGAGCTAATCTTCAAGAAGGAATGCAAGGCTGGTTAAATAAAACATCTATGAGCCATGGTGAGGAAGAGGATGCTTCCTCTTCCTTAGAAATCTAAACCTGTTCTGATTCTGTTATAAGGTGGCATACAGGGAAGTTGTCAGGCTTTCAAGATTCTACAGATAGGTCTCAACCTATGACGACAACTGAGTCCAAAATTGATGTTGTTAAGTGAAAAATATGTTAGCTGGATTTGTCCCATTTTACAACTTTTCTTGCCCCATTTGTTAAATGAATCACTGCAGTTGTTAAATTAGTAACATGGTTGTTAAAGGAATCTGGGTTCTCCATTGACCTTGCTTGTCAGAAGGTCGCAAAATGACTCCTGAACACTGCAACCATCATAAATATGAGTCAGTTCTCAAGCATCTGAATATAAAATCATGTGACCATTGGGATGCTGTAATGGTCATAAGTGTGAAAAATGGTCATACGACAATTTATTTTCAATGCTGTTGTAACTTCGGACAATCACTAAATGAACTGTTGTAAGTCATAGACTACCTGTATTATTATACTCTACAACGATAGAGTTCTAATAATCATTGTGTATCTTTTCTGACTTGACCTACCTTGAAGACTGACTTTGAAGGGGAGAACTGATAGTCACAATGGTAATATATAACCCTCTATATTATAGGCATGATGCTTGCCTGTATCTATTGTGTGGATGCAGAAATACCACTGTAGGAGCAAAATTCTTACTAGTTAGGCTTTAATTTATATTCAGTGCAGACTTTTTTATGGTCATGTCCTTATATATGAACACATGTAAATTAGTTTTGTTTTAGCTTTTTTATAATTGAATGAACCATTATAACATACAATTCAGTTTTTGCCTTATGCGCTCACATTTCCAGTAAGCATTTCCCTATTGGACGGATTATATTCTAATTTTTGTAAGCCTTAATTGTTGTCATGTGTAGCCATTTCAAATTTAAAGCAAATGAATTTAGAATGCCCAATTTTGTAAAATGTGTCTGTTTTAATCATTTTGGAAGCATTTTGAGTTCAAAACAAGTCTTCTTTTGAATGCCAAACACTCTTTCTTTATGTTTGAAACACTTCCAAAATCACCGAGACTGCTGATTTTGTACTGAAAGCAGCTGTTTGAACTTGTAACATAATATTTTCATATCTGAAATTCTTTGAACTAAAAATGAATTGCATATTATTAATTACTTATATTATGCACCTCAGTAGATGAAATTGTTTGAACCTGCAAGAGCTTTAATTCTAGTTTCCCTGATAACCCAAAACTAGGATATCAACAGGAGGGTAAAAAAATTCAAAATGGCTCACCTAAAAAAGATGGTTTTCAATTGCATAATCATAACTCTCATTTTGATTTTTTTGACCCTTACTGTGGACATCCCTGCCTCAAAATAATAATTTGGAAAACAAAAGCAGGAAAAGAAATGATGAAACATTCAAATTCATTACTGTCCTTATAGACCTTATACCCTACATTTAGTGACAAATATAATAGGGTTGTAGTATGAATTTCATTGGTCAAATAACCATCTGCAATTAAAAAAAAACTCCGACCATTTATTCTTAGTCAACTCTTTCCTTCTTTATTTTTAAAAACAACTTTATGTTTTGAGTTTAGAAGTGCATCGTAACAGTTGAAGAATTGTGGCATCTGAGTGAAAGTTGTGTTCTGATCTGCAAATTATTATGTAACTTTTATGTTTAAATGTTTGCCTATTTCATGAAAAAGTGCAAGGGCAGAAGTTAAAATTGATGGTATTTCCTTTCATTCATTTATTAGTCATTGTGCAGATTTTGCATTAAAACTTTCCAAAGTGCAGTTTTGTTGTGAATACTGCATTTTAATCAGTTGCTAGAATAAAAACTGTATTTTAAAGTGTTATAAAACCCATCAGAATCATATAAAAATTAGGGACCCAAAAATGGCAAAAGTATTTTTTATATTTCTGTTTTGTAACAATGAATTTTTTTAAAATTTTCTTTCTAGGTTGCTAGAATAGATGAATGTGGGCGAATGCTGGTGGCAGTTGAACTTAGTAACTGGCTAAATGATGTTCACTATGCCCTGCAGTCAGTTGTTAATTGTTATGGCCTTGTAGCTCCCCTGATCTATCACAAGATTCCCTCCAAACCTGTCATTCAGGTAAGAGTTTTTCTTAAAATACAAACTTGTATGATGTTTAGTTCAATATACACACACACAAAAAGTAAGAGTAAAATACTTGACACAAAATGTTGAAGACGTATATTGTGGTTTTTGGGTCAAAACCAAGCAAGAACTAAGATTCATCAAAATGAAAATGAAAATGTTGGATAACCATTTGTCTGAAGTGGTGTAGGGTTTCCTGCCTAGGCAGAGGGTTGGACTAGAAGACCTCCAAGATGCCTTCCAACTCTATTATTCTATTCTATGCTCTTCTAAAAGTATGGGAACTTGATATGACTAGAACATGTCTGGGAGAAGCAGGCATTTTTATCTTTCCTGAGCCACTTCTAATAGTGGAAAATGCTAGTTCTTTCTATTTTAAGGATTTAAAGGAACAGATTTGAGTTCATTTTTTTACTGCTTGGTTTGTAAAAAAGTTATGCTGAAATATAAATACAAAATATAGAACAAACAGAAAGGAAAGATGATAGTAATAAATTACACAATTGAAACTTGCCATTTTTTGTCCACTTGGTGGTGCAGTCCTACGGAAGGGAATGTAGAGTTCCAAAACTGTAAGACTGTATTGAAGTCTTCACTATATGTCCTATAACATATACGTTTGGGACCATATTGATTCAAAGAAAGCTGCATAAAGATCTGATGAAGTGAGTTCTTTTACTGAGCATAGCAGACTATGCAAAATTTTCATAGAGTAATCCATCACACAAAATGGATAGATACTGCAGCATGCTAAAATGTAGGTAACAATTTTAATAGGAAATTAAGGCAACATAAATTACGTAATTTTTTATTTATTTATTAAAACTGAACTGCAAAAATGTAAATAAATGCTTAGCTTTACAGCACAAGATTCATTTTTAGTTATTCATACATGTAATATTCTCTAGTGGTAAACATTTCTTATTATATTTTTCAGATCATTATTAAGTATCTCATCGTTCTTCAAGAAATTCCAATGATTATATTCCAAAGAAAACCAGCATCATGCTTTGATAGTATTCAGCACATGATAGCTTGTTCTTGCTTTTTCACAGCAAAGGTATTATTTATTTGTAAATATTATATTATTTACATAGTTTAAAATATTTGAACTTTGTAATTAGAGTATATGAATAATAAAAGGTCTGTGTGTGTATGAGATCTGTCTGCCTGCCTGCCTGCCTGCCTGCCTGCCTGCCTGCCTCTTCCTTCCTTCCTTCCAGTGTGGCTTACAACTAGGATTTCTGATGTCCTGGCATCTAAGCATAACTGCCATTGTTGAGTTTGTCAATATCAGCCAAAATTAATTACTACTACTGCATATTCTGACATACTTATTTATTTGACTTATATCTACCAATTTTAATAAATTGATTCACTGTGGTTTACAGCAAAAATGTAAAAGATCCACTATAAGGAACAGTAAATATCTATAGAACCAGGATTCAAACAAATGTAACATTAGAACATCCACAGTAGGTTTAAAATTTTAAAATTAAAAAACAAAAACCTAAACAGTAACAACAATAAAACTGACAGCATAAATATACTAGGGAAGAGTCACATAGAATAAATTTATTTACTTCTTTCCTGAATTTTGTCAGGGAGTTGGTAAGCCTTATATCAATAGGAAAGCTAGTCCATAATTTTGACACTACAATAGAAAAGTATTGAATTCTGAGAATAATTCCCCAACTCTCTTGGTAACAGAGTATCCAGTAGTACAGAAGTATGTTGTTCTGGAAATATTTAGGTGCCAAGCCATGAAATGCTTTTTAGGTAAAAACCATCACTTTATGTTGTATCTGGAAGCTATTCAGGAACCAGTGTGAGGTCTGAAGTATCATTATCTTAAGTTGCTGATGGCAAGGTGTAATAAGGTAGCTTCTTCTGAGATACTTCATTTGAAATTACCTGTACCTACAGGTGAACAGTGACTGGAAAATTAGATATCCTTGTTGCTGCCACCACACTTTTGAGGGAACCAGGAAATGATTGAAGGGGAAATCCACACCCCTCTCTAAGTTTGGTTAAATTATAGCAAGGAAAACCAAATAAAAGTTTTGAGATGTGATACCTCAGCCAAGTTAGAAAGCAATTTTATTAAAGGTAACAAAGAAGATAAGATTCTACACTCATACACAATAAAAAGTGGCAAATCCTAATACAATTCTAGCCTATAATAGAAAACCTCTCATTTGCTAGCCTTGCCCGAAGTAACTCCTCTCATCTAGTACTCCAGTCACTTCCAAAAACCCAGAATTTCGCAGAATCTGATTGTACCCTCTTCTTTCTCTCTATTGGTTCTGAGGGTAAGGCAACTCTTTCTGGCCACATGTGTCTGTTTCATTCTCTTTTGTTTCATTTTGGCCAGCTGCTTCCCATTATACAGAGGCTATTCAGAAGTTAGGTTACCATTTGGACCAATTATAGTTTCTGTTTAGTCTTTAAAGATACCTGTATATAGAATGCAGAAATTCAGTTTTGTGGTGATAAGTCGCTACAGTTAGGTTCCCTTGCCCTAAATAAAACTAACTGCCCAGTGAGTTAGTTAGGAAAAGGCTTTCTGGGTATGGCCTTCATCTGCTACTTTATCGGGAGCTATGAGTCCAAGATAATCTCAGAGTCACAAATCAGCACTTTCAGAGATAATTCTTTTCAATCAAGAAACAACACTGGATACGTAATATTGCCCCATCAAGTACAAATAATAACTCTGTCTCCCTAGGGCTTATTTATCCTGGCCCATCCAGACACTTTCAGGCTCCAGGCACTGGGAAACAACCTTCACATCATCTCTACTCCAATCTAGAGTAGTTATACTACTGAACTGGGTATCATCAACATACAGATAGTTCTCAACAATTGGACCCAGAATCATGGTCATTGAGTGAAGTGTTCATTAAACAAGACGCCACATGACCACTTGGCACAATGACTGCAGTCCCAGTTCTCTCAGTTGTAGTCATTAAGTGGAGTGGTGGAAAGGGAGCCCAAGTCTCCCACCAAAACCTACAGGCCTGGGTTCTCCCTGTTCCATTGGGGAGAACCTGAGAAGTATCTTGGCGTGCTTCAGGAATGGCCTTCAAATTGGCAAAACTGCCAGCAAACAATATCATTTGGAGCCTTTACCCCATAGTCTTACTGTGTTGTGGAAACAGACCATTAAGGAAGAATAAGATCTCATTGCTGAATAAGATCAAAATAGAAGGGAAATATTTTCACAAGGCTTGAGCAGATAGAGGTTAAGCACTCAATGATAAAATAGCACCCACCTGATAATGTTTGGATATGCTGAGAAGGGAAAAACTGTAAGTAGAAACTTTTTTGGTTCTTCTTGCAGCAGTAATTCTCCTGATCACGATCCCCATAAATCCCTGAATACAGGTTCTTTGGATTTAAAGCTTTTTTATATAAGTTGGCACAAGATTTTGATTAAATTTTTTAAATACCTATTTAAAAATATTATATATTACATGGAATTATATTATATATATTTAATAGATATTGCGCTTATGGAAAGAATATGAATTAGCAATAATTATTATCAACTATGGGAAAAGGTTGTTGGATTGCTCACAAGCACCATCTCAAGTGACTATAACTGGAGAAGGAGCAGATGAAATAATAGAAGAAGAGGTAACTGCTCTTGTTTTCATTTCCTGTCTCTTTTTATATGATTTATGATATATGTAGATAGAAACAAAAGATGAATTGATTAAGTCTTCAAGGAGTTAACAAAACTCAAGTGGCTGTCACGTTGTCTGTTTCTCCCTCTCTTCTGTTGTATAGTTTGATATTCTGCTCTGTAGTATGAGGTAGAAAACTCAGAATGTTTATAGTTTGATATAGTGGCATCTTTTGGGCTCATAAGCTATACACAGAAACATGGGGTAACATTTAAAGTAACATAATCAAGGATGTTGTAGGTTATATATTTTCCATTTAAATAAATGTAGTATTTACAATAAAACAAGTACAACTAACCTAAGTCTACTAAGAATATGATAATAGAGGATCTTATTAAAAGTAAGCAACTAGGTAGAGGAAGAAAATGATGAGTAAATGGTTGGAAAAGGAGCAAGATAGACAGAGAGACCATTTTTTAAAGAGGAAGGGCAGTACAACAATGGTTCTCTCTCTTACCACCTTTGTTGTATAAAGGGTGAATGTCTGGAGTGAAGAATTTCTTAAGTCCATGAAAGATCTCTAGACAAATGATAAAATATAAACATGTTTTTGAGTGTTCCTTACTACATGGACTCATCCATGCAATTCTCCTAGCAACAGTATAGAAACAGCCAATTTATTGTCTAACTTTCCAATCTAGCCTACAGCCTGGAATTCCATGATGGTTTTCTATTCAAGTATTAACTAGTTCTGAACCTATTTAGCATTGGAAGTTAGATACAGGAAGTCCTTGTTTTAGGATCATAGTTGGGACCAGAATTTCCATGTTTAAGTGACATGATCATAAAATGAGACATCACTTGACTGCATTGTTTAGCAGTGTCAAACCTGGCAATCCCGGTTGCAATTGTAACTCCAGACATGTGGACTACATGAGGGAAGCAGAGGGAATCTCAGGTATGGAGTTTGGTTCCCACAGGGAGATGGAGGCAGTTTGGGAGGCTTGGCACATGCAACATGCAAGTTAGGAGTCTGTGGCATGAGGGTGTGCATGTATGTTTGTGAGTGTAGGGAGATCAGGAAAAGAATATGCTATAAGCTGGGTGCCTCTTGGTGCACTGCAACTCTGGGACTGCAAAAAGCCGCTGCACCTCGGAAGGCCCTAGCAATGCAGTATAAAGCTGCTATACTCTGGGAAGTTCCAGCAGTTCAGCACAGGGAAACACAAAGAGCCTTTGGGACATACCACAGCTCTGGAACTGCAAAAGCCCTCAAGCTGCAGCACAGTGTAAAGACCTGCCCACCCCAGCAATATGGTGCACAGGGGCTTCTTGGTATGCTGTAGCTGTGCAGAAGCCCATAACCTACAGTTCAAAGCCCAGTCCATTAGAATGGTGCAACTGGGTTTCTTGCCACACTAGGAAATTGCAGCTGCCACAGCCCAGTCATAGTCACCCTTGCCACTCTGCCCTCTGCGGCCCTTTCTGCCTTCTGCTCCAGTGTCCCAGTTGCCCATCATCATCTTGCTGCTGCTGCTAACAGGGTTCACCCAACCTGGCCCTATGCAAGACAGCTTCTAGTCATTTAAGACTTTCTTTGTCAATCTTGCAAGGATGCCATTGTGTGCAACCTGGGGAAGAAAGCCTCATGTTGCTACCTGCTGCCTTACAAAGGGTCAGACATTCTTGGTCAGCAGCGGAAGAAAAAAGATGGCAAAGATCAACTAGGATGTCAGAATTTGTGGACTGCAGGGGGCCAAAAGGGCACAGATGGGGGGAAGATAGTCAGATGGAGTGAATTCAGGTGTCCCTGTGGTGTTAATTGCTGACTGCCTGCCAATTGCCCAAATTTTGATCATATCACCACAGGGCTGAAGCAGTGGTCATAGCTTGGAGAACCAGTTCTAACTTTCTTCAATGCTGTTGTGACTTCAAGTGGTCACTGAATGAATGATAGTTAAACAAGGACCACCTGTAAGGTTGGCTATGGTTGCTCCTTGCTGAAACCAGAAAAACAAATGGAGACTCTGAAAAATTAGAAATCATAGTTGGTGAGTGGATTGAGAAACTTTATTGTGGATAGTTTCCCCCTGCTTGTGGAGGGGAATGAGAAATGAATGAAATTAGTATGCAGACTAAACAGAATTAGGAGGCCTTCATATAGAGTAAACAGAACCCCAACATAGCAATAACCTTATACGTATATAATTGGTGCTAAGAGCTTGTCATATTCATAGATTTATGTCCCAGAATAAATGGCATAGTTATGTTTATTGAACCCATTTTACTATAGTTTTGAGTGTTAGTTTATTTATTTTTATCCTGTCTTTATTTTTTATAAATAAGTTAAGATGACAAACATATCTGTTGTCTTCCCTTCTCCAATTTGATCACAACAACCCTGTGCCACTTAAATCTTAATGCATCATTGATTTCATTATCATATGGTCTGAAATTCAAATGAAATACAAACTGATATTCTGAAATTAGATTAAAGTGAAATAGAAATATTCATTGTTTTCTTTATTATTGATGTGCTGTTATTGCCTTAATTCTGCAGCTAGCTAAGTGCTACTGTATATAAAATGGTGAATTAATCTATTATTATAGATTCCCCCTAAAAGGCACAGAGCGGTTACATTTGGAAAAGTAAATGAGAATTTAGAGGTTCTGGAAAACATGCTTCTGAAACTGATAAAAGCAGGTATATATTTAATATGTATATCTTGGTCCTAATACCACTGCTACTATTAAGATAATGATATATTTAAATATGTTAAGCCCATTAAGAATATTAAGCATTTCATCACATATCCTAAATATGTTAGCTACACATTCTTTTTTTAAATAAGGAATTTTAAATTTATCAATCTGTAATATATTCCTGCATGTAACATTTTATTTACAGTCATTTCTGTGGTCTTCAAAGAAACTTACCACATTTTCAGAGTATAAGTATTCCTCCCCCCTAAAAGTGGGTGAAACTTTAGGTGCATCTTACAGATTGAATACAATGTGTTTTTGCCTTCTGAAACCTCCGCGCGTCTGGTTTTCACCCTCTCCGGCCCCAAGAATCACTCGCAGGGCTCCACATGGCCTGTTTTTGCCAAAAATAAACTTGTTTTTGCAAAAAATGGGGCTCCCAAGCCCTCCGCACATCACGTTTTCACCTTCTCCAGCCCCAGAAGCACTCTACAGGGCAAAAACAGGTGAAAAGGGGCCCGTTTTTGGCAAAAATGGGATGTGTAGAGCAGTGCAGCATGCTTCTGGGGGCCTGGAAGGGCAAAAATGCAACACACTGAGGGCCTGGGAGCCCAAAAATGAGCCAGTTTTGGGCAAAAACTGGCCATGCGGAGCACTGCAGAGTGTTTCTGGGAGGGCGAAAACATGACTCGTGGAGACTGAAAATGATTTCTTGTTTTCCTTCTTATAAATTTAGGTCCGTCTTATAGTCTGACTCATCTTATTGTCCGAAAAATATAGGAACTTGTATTTGAGGACCAAGATTGTTGAAGGCAATAACTGACTCTGTAATCTGCTTGGAGAGGGCTGCAAAGCACTGTGAAACAGTATATGTCTAAAAGCTATTGCTATTGCTATTTAGATAACAAAATAATCTAAATGTCCTGAGTCTATTCAAATACTTTCTAAACTTTAGTATAATACTAGACAACCCAAGCCCTGTTAAGTCATCATTCAAAGATATTTCATTACTGCAACAGAAACAAAAGAAAAAAGCAGTGGGATTGGGAGTGACTTCCAACTTCCTGCCGGCTTTCCCATTAAGTTTCCTTGTGCGAAGTATCAGAAAAATTCCCTTTTCTCGTCCCTCCTCCTCCCACTCCCCTGAAATGAATTTAAACTTGGATATGTTAGAATATTTCAGCGTAGAAAAAATAGATTTAAATGGAACAATATTCCAGTCTAATGAAGGATATATAACTTGATTAGAAATTCTGGCTATGGCAGACACCATGATGGTTAATAAATGAAATATGTTTATTAAAATATTTGATCACTAATATTAAAATGGCTTTCTTTTGTAATTTGTTTCTTGTTCCACAACCACTTTTGAGAATGTGTTAATCAAAATTATTACATATCTAATTGATCCTAAATTTCCACTGAAAATATTTGATACATATTTTATACTCCACAAAACTCTGGAGCTTGGCTAAAATTCATACTATATTTTAAAATTTTGAAGAAAAAAAGAACAAATGTATATAACAAATGAGAAGTAAAAATTTAATAAAATGAGAAAAGTTTATTTAAGTGATGTCACTTTTTGATGAAATGTATCTAGTGTATCTGTATATTGCTGTTCATTGTGTTGAATTTACTCAAATCTGCTCTGTCTAGGACAAGAGCTTACAGGAGAAGAAGATCCTTTATTCTTGTATCCTATAGTTTCAAATTGGCAAGCAAAGACTGCTTATAAGGAAGGTAATAATTTTAAAGTGTAATATTAGCATATTATATTTCCCCCCCACTATATGTGTACAGATTTGAAAATGCGGTGAGTATAAATTTAAGTAGAAGCTTGTGTGACTTTTAAATACTTTTCTTTTTAAGAAAATTCCTCAATGCAAATATTTTGTTTTTTGTATATAAGTTGTCTGGCTAACTTGGAACATACTTTGTAAGGGTCTATATTTTATGAGTTAAGCAGGGTCTTTTTAATGACAGAAGATAAAGATACTGATAAAGATTTTTTTTAAAAAAGTGAGTGTCTAGAAAAAGTCCTGCTTCTTTTAGAAAGCAGATAGTAATCCCTGTAGTAGCATTGAAATTTACACATCAGTAGGTTGACTTTTTGGTCTAAAAGTTGTTTGGGACATTAAATGTTTTAAGCACAATCTTACATGGTTCTAGGACACGGGTATCAAACTCGCCACCATGTCACGTTGCTGTCATGTGATGTTTCATGACGTTTTTCTCCTTTGCGGAGCTGGGGTAGGCATGATTGTGCATGATGCATCCAGCCTGAAGGCTGCCAGTTTGACACCCCTGTTTTAGGAGTATAAATCAAGTTAGAAACATATGTGCTATAAATTTTTAGAAATCAATTTAAAGCCTAATTGCCATATTAGGGATGAAATATAACTTTTGAAGATCTAGAACAGAGTACCGTAATTTTCGGAGTATAAGACGCACCATTTTTCCTCAAAAAAGAGGCTGAAAATCTGGGTGCATCTCATGCACCAAATACAGCATTTTTTGCCTCCCGAAACCCCGCCCCTTCACCAGAATGGCTGTGCATATCCTATGATGGCTTTCAGAGAGCTCCTGGGGGCTGGGGAGGGCAGAAATGAGCAGAAAATGGGCCATTTTTTGCTCATTTTTGCCCCCCCCACCCCTCCAGGAGCACTCTGCTAGCATTCCCCCAAGGCTATTTATGCCTTTAAAAAAAAACAGGCCCATTTTTGCGAAAAATGGGCCGTTTTGGGGAGGTCTGCAGAGTGCAAAAACTTTTTTTTTTTCCTTTTGGAAAGCTCTTTAACTGATTGATGAGAATTACATTGATCAAGTGCTGTGCCAGCAGAAACAAAGTCGTAGGTGCTGCAGATTGTCAGCAATTTCCTTCTCCAGCTCATGAATAAATACACCTGGAAACATCTACCTACCTACCTACTCTCTCTCCCTCCCTCTCTACTGTATTTCTCTCTCTCTCTCTCTCTCTCTCTCTCTCTCTCTCTCTCTCTCTCTCTCTCCCTCCCTCCCTCCCTCCCTCTACCTGCCAAGTACCAACCTACCTTCTCTCTCTCTCTCCCTACCTATCTACTGTATTTCTCTCTCTCTCCCCCTCTTCCCGGGTACCTACCTACTCTCTCTCTCCCTACCTACCTACTGTATTTCTTTCTCTCTCCCCTCTATCTACCTATGCACCTATCTACTCTCCCTCCCTCCCTATCTACTGTATTTCTCTCTCTCTATTTCTCTTTCTCTATCCCTCTACCTACCAACCTACCTTCTCTCTCTTTCCTGTATTTCTCTCTCTCTCCCCCTCTACCTACCTATCTATACCCTCTCTCCCTCCCTCCCTACTATATTTCTCTCTCTCTCTCTCTCTCTCTCTCTCTCTACCTACCTACCTACCTACCTACCTACCTACCTACCTACCTACCTACCTACCTACTCTCTCTCCCTGCCTACCTACTGTATTTCTCTGTCTTTCTCTCCCTTTCTATCCCTCTATCTACCTACCTACTTAAAAAAAAATCCTCTTCAAAACCTTGGTGCGTCTTATACTCTGAAAAATATAGTAGTATTTTGCAGTAATTGCCAGTGAATTTGATGATAACTTTTTGTGATTTGCTTTCAAAACAACTTTCCTGTGATTAGTCTAGGAAGGAGTTAGATGCATTGTGTTTCCATACGTTATTAAATCTTACCGTATTTTTCGGAGTATAAGACCCACCGGAGTGTAAGATGTACCAAAGTTTTGAAGAAGCAAATTTAAAAAAAAGTAGGCAGGTAGATAAAGGAGAGAGAGAGAGAGAGAGAGAGAGAGAGAAATACAGTAGGTAGGTAGGGAGAGAGTGTGTGTGTAGGTAGGTAGGTAGGTAGAGGGATAGAGAGAGAGAAATAGAAAGAGAGATACAGTAGATAGAGGGAGAGAGAGTAGGTAGGTAGGTAGGTAGATAGAGGGATAGAGAGAGAGGGAGAAATACAGTGGGTATGGAGAGAGAGGGAGTAGGTAGGTAGGTAGATAGAGGGAGAGGGAGAGGAAGAGAGAGAGAAATACAGTAGGTAGGGAGGGAGAGAGAGTAGGTAGGTAGAGGGATAGAGAGAGAAATAGAAAGAGAGAGAGAAATACAGTAGATAGGTAGGGCGAGAAAGAGTAGGTAGGTAGGTAGATAAAGGGATAGTGAGAGAGAGGGAGAATTACAGTAGATAGGTAGGGAGAGAGAGTAGATAGGTAGAGAGGGATAGAGAGAGGGAGGGAGAAATACAGTAGGTAGGTAGGGAGAGAGAGGGGGTAGGTAGGTAGATAGAGGGAGAGAGAGAGAGAGAAATACAGTAGATAGGTAGGGAGAGAGAGAGGGTAGGTAGGTAGATGTTTCCAGGTATACTTATCCATGTGCTGGAGAAGAAAATCACTGGCAGTCTGCAGCACCTAACTTTGTTCTTGCTGGCACACTATTTGATCCACGTAATTCTCATCAATCAATTGAAGAGCTTTCCAAAAGGGGGAAAAAAAAAGTTTTTGCACTTTGCAAGCTTTCCCAAAATGGCCTGTTTCTCACGAAAACAGGCCTGTTTTTTTAAAAATAAAAGGCATAAATAGCCTTGTGGCGGCTTGCAGAGTGCTCCTGGGGGTGGGGGGCCAAAAATTAGCAAAAAACGGTCTGTTTTTCATGAAAATGGGCCTGTTTTTTGTAAAACAAAATTGTATGCATAGCCTTATGGAGGCTTATAGAGTGCTGCTGGTGGCTGGGGGTGGCAAAAAATGGCCCATTTTTTGCTCATTTCTGCCCTCCCCAGCCCCCAGGAGGTCTCTGAAAGCCTCCATAAGGGTATGCATGGCCATTTTGGTGAAGGGGCAGGGCTTCGGGAGGCAAAAAATGCTATATTCGATGTATAAGACGCACCCAGATTTTCAGCCTCTTTTCTGAGGAAAAAAGGTACGTCTTATACTCCAAAAAATACGGTAATCACTGCTACATGTGGTCTTTAGATTCTCTGTTATTTGGGCTTTGATTTCTACATAACAGTGCAAACTTACATTTTTAAAATTATGGCAATACCCTTCCTTAACTAAGAAAAAATTGCCACATTTCACAATGCAGGGATATGTCAAACACAAATAGTTTTTAACATTAAAATATATCAAATAATTTAAATGTTTTAAATTTTAACTACAAAGAATTTTCTCTATAACAAGCATTATTTTATTATTATTTTTTAACATCAAGCTTTAATTTTTCTTTTGGATGCAGATTAAAATTTAAGATTTTAGAAATCCATTTTCAGATGTTAATTTTACTTATTTAGGAAAATTTATATTGCTGTCTTCTCGCACATAGGTGATTCAAGGCAGCTTCCATTTAAAGTGATACAAATTAGTTTGATTAATGGAATATTCTATCAAGAATAGTAATTTAAAATACTACGGAATAACTACACTTATTTTATATTTACACAGTACTGAAATTTAAGAAGAACTCTCGTTTCCTTGAATATTTTGTCATGCTTATAGTGAAAGCACTAAATGAAGAAAAATGGATGCGAATAATGGAGTGGTCTGATGATGTTCAAGAGTATCTTAAAAAGTAGGTGCAAAATGTTTTCAACTGACAAGATTCTGTCAGTTTTATGGCCTTGCAATTGCAGAAACTATAGCTGCAAAGATAGTTGATCTGTTGTATGTTCACTGAGAGCTTTTGCACCATGACAAATTCCTTCAATTGCACCATAATATCTTTTCATATTAATATGGCTTCTTAGACATACTTCCAGAATTTGTAATCGGCATTAGTTATTATAGCAGTAATTTCTAGACAAATATCTCAGTGGCTTCTTACTGTATATGTTTGTTTCTTAGTTGTCTCTTAACTCCCACTACCTTTTCTATGATGAAATCAGATTAGCATTTTAGTTAAAAATGTTTTGAAGCACAGCACATTCAGCCTTTATTTAAAGAAGACTGTGTATTGTTTTACAAAAAGATGTGACAAAAATTATTGGTGAAGTAATGCTCTAAATATTGAAAAAAATGTTCAAAGCTGCTGCTACTTTTTGAAAAAACCTAATGTAGTAATGTTAGACTTTTTTGTTTCCTAGGCGGAATAGATTCCTTCTTGGTATTAAACAAGTTCCAAAAAAGAGGAAGAAGATTCGTTCATCTGCAGATACAAAGAAGACCACAACACAAGATTTTTCAAAGGTTAATTTATTTTTTTTAAGAAAGGTTTTGGGATCTCTTAGTTATTTGAATAAAAAATTCAGTAAGGAATAATTACAACTTTTGTCATAGTTGAGTATAAAATTAAATTCTGAAGTCAGAAATTATAACTGTTAACAATTCACTCTACCAGTGAAAATAAAATATATAAAATAATCTCATGTAGAATATGTTCTCTATTAATTTCTACTTTTTAACTCATGTAATAGATATGAAGAGATATGTACTGAAGTTATTAATATATATGGTATTCGTGCTGACATAATGCACTTTGGATGTTGGAAAGATGCAAATTAGGCCATATGCATGAATGCATTTTGTGATTGTACACAATATAAATTATGGAAATTCAGTTCCAAATTAAACGGAACAGTAAGATTATAGTTTTGATGATTGAGAAGATACCTCAAGGATTTATATCAAATAATAAGGATAAGTTAAGCAGGAGTACAGACTAATAATCAAGCATGAAAGTAGTCAAAGGGTTTTTTCCCCTACATGTACATCAAACATATAGTAACAGATTGAAGTATTCTCTTCTTATTTTCTTCTACCTTTCCCAGCATTATATACTTCAGAGAACTTTCATATAAAATGGATCCAAATTACAATTTGAGCCTAGCATGATTCTTATCTATGTAGATATCAATACAACATATGCAAACTTCTTTTTGGTATTCTTTGGGTTTCTCAATTATCCAGTGTGCATCAGCACTTTTCTAAAACCAGGAAACCAGATTCTAAAATCTTCCTCCCATGCAAGGTTCTAATTTCTGTTGTATGATGATCAGCATTATTTTGCTATAAGTTTCATTTGCTAGTGTGTGAAATCAATAATATTTTGCACACTTTGTTAAAATGGCTTTTGAATTTTAGCTTTCTTTTTGTAAAATAAATGATGACATGGTGTAATATGTCATGTGTTGTTGTTCATTTGAGTGCCTACTTTTAAGAACTACTAAGTACCAGATGATTTTTACTATGTCCTGATACCTAAACCATAGAATTCAAAGAAAGTATAGTTTCTTTTTCACATGACTGTGTATGTAAGATCCTAAGATATTCTACCTGCAGGCCATTAAAGAAAGAAACTTGCCCAGAAGTGACTGAAAAATGAAAATTCTTCCTTCACATGAATATATAGAAAAAAACACACCTATAATAGACTAGAAAATTGTTAATATTTTCCTACTAGTTAGTGTTTGTAAGGGAAACCAAGCTTCTGATAAAATAGATTCACAACTTTTCTCAAAGAAATAGGAATCTCTATTCTCTGCTTATTTGTAAGCAATTAACAAACAAAACTCAAATAAAGGCCAGAATGGCTGGAGAACAAGATTGCTAATGATTTGATTACTGAGTTGCTCATTAGCTGGCAATGCTGCAAACACCCTGATGAAGCTGGAAGTATTTGAGACTAGATCATATTAGTTTGTCTAAATGAGACAAAAGACATAAGGCAGGCAAGGAAATGACAAGGCACAGGAGAAAAGCTGAATTGTCATAGAGCAGTGATAGTGAATCTATGGCACGCATGCCACAGGTGGCACGTGGAGCCATTTGTCAGGGCACATGAGGAGATGCCCTATTCACCTTTTTTTAAAGCCATTTTTCGCCCTCTCCAGGCTCCAGAGGCTTTATAGGAGCCTGGGGAGGGCGAAAAGAGCCTCCCCCCTCGAGGCTTTCTGGAGGCTCCATAAGTTTCCTGAAGCCTCTGGAGCGCAAAAAAACGGCCCTATGGGCAAACTGGAAGTTCAGGAACGGACTTCTGGTTTGCTCGGAGGGTTGTTTTGACTGCTCTGAAGGCTTCAGGGAAACCTCCTGAAGGTCCCTGAAGCCTCCGGAGGGCTTCTGGGGGAGGGGAGGCTGTTTTCACCCTCCCCAGGCTCCTATAAAGCCTCTGGAGCCTAGGGAGGGTGAAAAAAGCATGCAAAAATGGGGGGAGCACCTGTAGTGCGTGCATGCACACTGGGGTGGTGTCGCACATTGCATTATGGGTGCGGCATGCTCTCACACGACCCCCCCTGCGGCACGCGAGCCAAAAAAGGTTCGCCATTGCTGTCATAGAGTAACAGAATGAAGTATAGTCAGCTGAGAGCTACAGTATGTGGAAGCAAAGGAGAAATAATTTAAGGTCTGGAGTTTACTTCTAAATATTTCGTCATTGTTGAATGTCATTGCTGAATGTCTCAGAGAAATGCAGATTGAGGTATGTTTAGCCAAAAAAGCTTCTAAAAAGATTTTGTGAAAGTGCTTTAGAAAGAAAAAGGAAAAGCTGTACAGCAGGTAAAAGAGACAGTTGCAGAAATAAAAGCAGATTCTATGTGTTCTGAACTCAGTCTGAAAAAAATGAAAAGAAATTACAATCTCGATAGGTAAGTAAGTAAATAGGCTTAAAGGAAAATATTTGGAGTATAGATCAGGTTAAAAATAAGGAAGGATTAAGACTGTAACCTAGTAAAATTTAAACTGCTATGCATGTGCCTCTAAATCAATATATAGCATGACCAGTAACAAGGTGGATATTGTTGTAACTGTTGGAAGATATTAAATGACCAGGTTAGAAATAGATTCTCCAGAATTTAAATTCTGCAGGAGAGAAACTAAATCTTATTACTATGTTCGCATATTATGTATAGATTTATAAAACGTGTATGTTTTCAAATGTATTACAATTCATTATGATTGTTCATTATTCTCAGAACAAAATTTGATTTATTTTATAAAGCTATTATTAGGATTTATTTGAGATAAAATGAATGCATATTTGTTGTTTAGCTCTTACTGGGCTGTGGGTAACTGAAATTAGTGTTTTGAACATTTATAATTATTATGATATAATCATTTTTTTATATAGGTTACAGAATTATCAACACCAAAGAAGAGAGGTTCCAAGAAGAAAGGTCTGCCTAAACAATCGATTAAAACACCTGGTGGGAAAAGGTTGCTAATGTTTTTTCCCCTATAAATTACAATGGTATTTATGCCTGGGAATTTATGATACATTACTATTTATGACATATTAGCACTAAATAAAAAAAGAATGCTAGTTAATTTTTGCTTTCATTAATATTCACTAAAGTTCAGTAAACTTCCAGGCTGAATTTTAAGTGACTTGATTTCTTTTAAATGTTGAAATTATTTGAATTATTTGAGCAATCCAAAACAAAATGGAGTTTCTCAAACAGCCAATTGGAAGCAAATTTGATGTAATGTGTAAATTGGTGGACCCAAGTTGTAGTCCTCCCAGAGGTACAGAAACTTGTAAGTTAGGGATGGTGGTGTCTTTAGGACATTACTGTCCATCAACCATAGACTGTGAAACCCAAATGCATCTGATCTTAGGTGAGTTCCATTTTTCCCACCAAAAACAACCCTGTAAATTTTCCTCATTGCCTTCAACTTTGTGATTCCAGACTCTAACCGTAAGCTTCTTGCTCGCATATTCTGTTGATTTCAGATTGAACTTTATTTCCTCTTATTCTTCATCAGTGGTGGAGTTTATGCTTGGATAGCAATTATATTAAAAGGATGTCCAAGAAATCTAATTGATATTATTGGACCCTGGTTGAATTATATGCAAGTACTATCTGTGCTACTGGTAATCCTTGACTTACAATTGTAATGTCCATTACGGTCATAAGACATGATGGTCGTAGAGTCGGTCATTACATGACTGATCTAATTTTATGACCTTTTTTGCAGCCCTCATTAAGTGAACGCAATGATCTTTAAAATGAACCAGTTGATCGCCATTTACCAAAAAATGGAAGTAAATGCCATTTTTGGCAAAAATGTCATAAAGTATTCCATGTGACTGTGGGACATTACAAACAGCTGTAAATTTGGTCTGGTTTCCAGGTGCCAAAAATACAGTTCACATGATTGTGAACTTCAGAACCACTTCATAAATACCCCTGCAGAGTTATGTTGTAACTTTGAACAGTCACTAAGTGACCCATTGCAATTTGAGGACTACCTATATATATATTTCCTGACTGTGAAAGCAATACTCTTCCTTCTTTGTTTTCCATGTTCTGTATTGTTAACATATGATTTTTCTGTTGAAATCCCAGTGCATTATGATTCTCTAATGTTAGTAAGTTCATTTCATCTTTCACTGTTGAGCCTGTCCGTATTCATGTTTTACATTCCACATTCCCACTGTAGTTCTGTCTTGGCAGCTTGGATTTTCTTTTCCTTCATGGCAACAGCTGAAACTAAGTGTCTCAAAGGATTTAACTTAGTTGCTTTATAAACATCACTAGTTGCCCTAAAGATTCTCAGCTCTTTCTCAGTAGCAGATTAAGTGCCACCAAGCCTGAAGAGGCCATCACTTAGCACTATATTATTAATCAGTTTATCTTGTCTATCCATGTGGGTTTTGCTTACTACTCCATTTTCCCACCAACTTTGAAATGATGTTTTTGCTGTTGTCACTAAAGTCATCATCAACATTCAGCATTTTCCTTATCACTGTTATCTGATATAGGTACCTGTTGGTTTTAGTTGGACACATGAGATAACCTTCATGGCTTAGGTTCCCCTTTTGGGAGTATATATTTTGGCATATATTCCTGGAATTCCTAGCAATCAGGAACTCCACCCTGCAGCCCCATTGCCGTAAGGCAGCATATCAGGACTTGAGAGAGTATATGTGTATGTTAAATTTTGTGTGTGTGCCTATACCATTGAATCAATATTGACTCCTGGTGATTGCCTGGACAAGTCCCTACAATTTTCTTGATGAGGTTTCAGCAGTGGTTTGCCATTGCTTGCTTCCCAGGACTCTGTGAGAGTGATTGGCTCAAGGTGACCCAGCTGGATTCATGCCTAAAACAGAAATAGAAGTCATAGACTATTGGTTTCTAGCCTGGTACCTTAACCACTATACCAAAGTGGCTATTTACATATAGAAAATAATAGAAAATTATTTAGTATTGGAAATAATAGGAAAGAGTGGAGTAATGTTAATCTGTTAGATATCTGTTAGTTATGGAGACTTTGCTAATTCTATATGAAAAGCAAAAGGTAAGCTAAGTCAGCTTAACAGAAACTACTGCTTTAACTACTGCCCTTGTGCCTTGAACAAATTGTTAACTAGAAACTTCATAATCTGCATGATGAGGACTTTATAAAGATGTGTCTCCCTAGATCTGGTCTGGGGAACAAGCTGGTCCCTCTTCTAAAAGTTGTTCATTTCTTCTCTATATGCATTCTTTAGATTAAATTAATGAAATTTAATTTATTAATGTGATGAAACTTGTTTCTTTGTAGATGTAGAAATCTACAAAGAAGTAAGTTTCAAAGAAATATATCCATGTCCATATCCATATCCATATCTATATCATCAGGAATGTAATTGTTTCTATAGTCTTAAAATATGTTTTCTCCTGTGATGGCTTATAATTCAAGGTGTTGTCCCTATAATTTTATTTAGGAAACAAATAGAAGAAAAAAGGAAAATTGCTTTTGAAATCCTGATAATTAAGCTAAATATATGTTCTGATATCTACATAAGACGAAGAAGATATCGTCGGCTATATAATGAAGAAATGCCATGGCGAGCTCAGCTTAATATTTACCTGGCAATTGTTCACTTTAATTTGTTAAAAAAACGGACACAGGAGCTCCTTACTATTGAAAATTTTATACAAAGTCCAGACAGGTAAAAAGTGAAAAGAATAACTAACTGATTTAACTGTGTCAGCCTCTTATTTCAAAAAATGTGTTTTACGTATATTTTAAATTCTCGTGTTGCTAGCTTATTTAAAATTTCTAGGACCGATATCAAACCAGGATACCAAAGACATCAAAGGAAATGCCAAGACCAAAACAAACATAATTTTTATTTAAATTGTTCTCATTAATTATTTCCAATGCTAAGAATTTTTCCTCATTGGCTCAGTCAATCCAAATGACTGGCATGATCTTCTGAATCTGATTCACAAAGGAATTGCTTTCATTGGGTAACCTTTATAACTTACAGCCTCTCTCACTTCTTCCATCCCCAGTTTGCAAATTTTTAGTATTTCTACATAAATATGGCGTAAAGTGATATGTTATCCACATAAGACTTAAAACTAGATAAATGAAATTAGTCAAAAACATTATACTTTTTCATTTATTTCATTGAAGAAAATAATCCAAAACAATATATTTGTGTGTGACAAAAATATGCGAACTTCCAGGCATATCAGTTCATTTGAAGGCTAAATTAGAGTCACTTGTTTCAATCAATGGATTTAATCAACTGTGAGCATGGGAGATCCTGCCTTATTTAAACAACAGATTTCTAAGTATTCACTTTCTTCATAACACAGGAATTTTGTCCCAAGCAAAAGAGATTTCTAAGGACCTTTCAAAAACAGTTTTTGATGCTCACTAGGAACTAGAAAAGGTAATTTCTAAGAAACTAAAGGCAATACACAGAGAACTTTGAATCCATAGAGAAGAGCCATTTGGAAATACTTGAGCTATGGAAGCAAATTCCCATCCACTCTGGATATCACATCCTATATTGTTCTTTGCTGAAGCCATATTTTAGATTTACATTTGAAGGAGGTGTGTGGCATTCCTGACCATTAAGGCTAAAATTTTCAGAACAAAAACCTTGAAGCAATAAGAGAAAGACCTTGTGAAACAACTCTTCAGCCTTTGCATAAAATAACAGGTTTTATTATTAGCACGGCTATAGTCAATTCATGATTTTGATGTTGTGAAACTAGATTGTATTCATGAAAAGTTCAATAGAATCTGATATTTCAATGAGAGCAACAATAAATTAACCTAAAACTGGAATTCTTAGAGAATTTCTCCATAGGTTCTGTCCAGCTTTCAGCCAATGCCCTAGTGCTTCCAGTGCTTGTCTGATGGCTTGAGTATTGGCAGATTATATTATTTGTGTAATGATGGCACCATGAAAATGAATCAGTTATTGAAAATTAGTAATTTGCAATATTTGTGTAATAACATCATGCAAATGATATAAATGTCCTTGACATGATTTGCTTTTCAATTTAAAAGAAATTTGTGACTAATGTCAGTCTCTCTTGATTAGTCCATGAAAATGAGAGTCAATTATAACTTAATTAAAATGATGCAAATTATTTATGCAACCTTTTCTGTACTGACCTTTGATTAAAATGAATTATTACCAGTACTATAACTGCTATTATATCCTTTGTAACAAACAAAGGCAGATTTTTCTATATATAGTAAATTGATAGAATGTCAATTCAAATTTGAAATTTGTCTTGCTTTAAATACTAGAAAATATTCATTTATTAAATATTAGAAAACTTTCATTTAAATTATTTAATAAGATCTGGTTGCATTCACCTGGCTGTTAAAAGATGCAGTTCAGAATATTAACTTCTGATACGAATAAAGAAAAAGAAAGAATGTTAACCAATATAGTCCAGGCTCATCCTATTGTTGCCACACTATAAACAGGATTGTTAACATGTCTTTAGATTGGGGTGTCAAACTCATCCCATGACGACAATGTGACGCTGCGAGTTTGACACCTGTGCTTTAGATGAAGTATTTAGAAGTATTCTGCATCAAGGGTGAATAGTAATAGTAGTAGTATTAGTAGTAGTATTAGTAGTATTAGTTGTAGTAGTAATAATAATAATAATAATAATAATAATAATAATAATAATAATAATAATAATAATAATAATAATAATTTCCAAGTGGATCCACTTTTACCACTACTGTTCAACATTGCATTAATTCCACAGACAATAATCCTACGAAACAAAAAACTGGGATACCAAATCGGAAGCCAACTTGGCAAGATAAACCATCTACTATACATGGATGACTTAAAGATGTATGCGAAAAGCCCCACTGAACTTAAATCAATACTCAACACAGTTCAACTGTTCAGCAGTGACATCAAAATGAACTTTGGGCTTGAAAAAAGTGCTATATTATCCATGTGGCAAGGAAAAATGGAAAAAACAGAAGGAATAGAACTGGGAAATGGAAATATAGTGAAAGCATTAGCAAAGGATGATGGTTACAAGTACCTAGGCATATTGGAAGCAGATAACATCTTGAATGGAAAAGTCAAAGAGTCAACGCAAAAGGAATACATCAGGAGGGTCTGCAAAATAAATCAAAGCTGAATGCTGGAAACATAATTAAATAATTAAATACATGAGCAGTTCCAGTGATATGCTACTCAGCTGGACTCATCAACTGGACTCTGACTGAACTGGAAAATTTGGACCGGAAAACACGCAAACGTTTGAATATGTACCATGCTTTACATCCACAAAGTGACATCGACAGGTTGTACTTGCCAAGAAAAATGGCGGGGTAGGGGGCTATTGCAAATCCATCAAACTGTAGAAGAAAAATTAAGTTTATAGGATTACGTGAACCATAGTACAGAAAAATTGCTGCAGGTTGTGAAAATGGAGAACAGAAGCAAAGGCAGAATAGAAGGAAAAACAGCTGGATGACAGATTAAATAGATGGAAAACCAAAGCTTTGCATGGACAGCACTTGAAAAACATTGAAGAAAAATGTGATGACAACTTGACATGAGCATGGCTTAAAATGGGAACTATCAAGAAAGAAACGGAAGGTTTAATACTGGCTGCTCAAGAACAAGCACTATAAACTAATGTCATGAAAGTGAAGATACAAAAATCCATTGACAACCCAAACTGCCGACTTTGCAATAACAAAGTTGAAACTGTTTCACGTTTAATATGTGAATGAAGCAAAATTGCACAAACTGATTACAAAGCTAGACATGACCGAGTTGCTAAATTAATCCACTGGTCATTTTGTTGAAAATATGATTTACCTGTATCCAGAAAGTCATGGGAACATAGAGTGGAAAAAGTGATCGAAAATGATAAGGTGGGACGTTCGAATACAAACAGATCGTCATTTGGAGCACAACATGCCATATATCATAGTTGTAGAGGGCCAAAGTGTACAGTTTATTGATATCGCTGTTCCTGGAGATGCCAGAGTCGAAGAAAAAGAACTAGAAAAAATAATGAAATATCGCAACTTGGCCATTGAAACTACACGACTATGGATGAAGCATGTAACAGTGGTACCCATTGTCATCGGGGCACTTGGCACCATGTACAAGAATTTTACAAGATACATCAATAAATTGCAGCTTCCTGCAATAACACCAACGGAACTGCAAAAAAACTGCTACTCAGAACATCATATTTTAAGAAGGTACTTGGTTGATACCTAGGATGCTGGCAGCAAACTGTATCAATCATTAGCATCAGTCACTGGTATTTGTGATGCATTTTTGAATGTTCAGTTGGTTGAGTTTCATGTTTAATGAATACAATATAAATAATAATAATAATAATGTTGCAATATTGCTACATTTCAATTATTAAGCATGTACCTGTGTTTGTGTATGTTTTTGTTTTGCAGTTATAATGATCTGAACCCTGAAATATTCTCATTAAGCAATTCAGGCACAATCATGATAGTGCCAGAGGAAGAAATCATAGATTTTAAACATCTGTCTTTTAAAAGAACGTTTTCAGGAAAAGTCAGTCGAAAACCTGGTAATACTATAGATAATAAAATGTGAATTTTCAACTATTGTGTTTTATGCAGTTATTTACTAAAATACATTAAGATATCTACAGTAATCCTTTTAGATCCTTGGTTCCAGCATTTTAAGACAAGGACCAATAAAATTGATATTGTTGGATGATGACTTTTAGAATGATTTTAAAATATTTTTTTTTTGAGTGGCTATGTTTGGAGGCTAAGTTTGAGTCAATCGAACACATAATCCATTAACGCTGAATGCAATCACTGAATTCTAATTTTGGAAGTGTCTGAAAATGTGCTCTAAATCTGATTTTTCAGTATGCATAGATAATTATACCATTTCACTATGTTGCTATAGCTGACTTTCTGATTCCTTAAAGAACATTTCTAGTGTGCATGTTTTTTGTTTCATAGCCAATGTCTTAATTCAATCTATTATTATGTAAAGTCTGACCATACATTTATACATTTTATCTTCTGTAGTTTTACTTGTATTTTGTATATTTGTTCCTGGGTTCTTTGTTCTAGATGTGCATTACATTTTGAATCATCATTCTATTTTCTTCCTCTTTTCTCTCACTTTCTTTTCTATTTTGCTACCTTTTCTGCTTCTGGGATTTTAATGGCTTTTGGTTGTTGATTCTTTCCAATTATCTGCCTTGGACTCACTATAGAAACTTTGCTGTTTCTGTCTCTCCAGTAGTTATTTTATTCTAGATGGCCATTTGATCTGAATCTGCATTACCACAAACAAGGCTCTTGTTAGGCAGGTAATAGATAACAGTATTGCATCTTAAAAACCATAGTTATTATAGTCAAATCTTTAAAATGAGAATTGATTTCGTGACTATTTAATATCTCAGAAAGATTTCCATAACTCCTTAAATAGTAGCTGTGCTGTTTTTAGAATTAGTCTTTTTAAAGTTTTATATATTTAAAAGATCTCATATGTCCCTATGGGATAGGTAAAGATGTTTTTCCCCCTTCTCACTCATTTATTCTATTTCAATATTCTTTTTTCCTAGATTGAACATTTATTTTTCATTCTGCCATTTCTTCTGCCTGGTCCAACGTATTTTCAAACTCAGTATCTGTAAATATTTGTATGTATTGTTAATACGACTAGTCTTACAGTAAATTTCACATTGTTGACTTCTCTTTCAAAAGCATTATAACTATGTTCATTGAACATATTTGAAACTTAAATTTGTTGTTGCCTAGAACATCTTCCATTATAAGTCTAATTAAGAAAACAGGGTACTTTTTAAGAGTCTATCTGTGTTGGTTTCCTAATCTGGGGAGTCTGTGATTTACAGCATTCTATTATGTGGGTTTGGTATTGTTTAGCTGAATTAGGTAGATGTCAAATATTATTTTCTCTTTGGAAGCTGAGAGAGTCACATGGCTTAGCATAAATCAGGCCTCGTTGATCGTCAACTTCAAAAAATGCTTGATGATTTCCTCAGAGCTTCTATACATTCCAGGGCAAACATCTTATTATTCATTCTAGAGAATATAACTTACATGGATCTATTGTGATTTTGTTTATTACTTTAGGTGTAATTTGGGTGTAGACAATTACACTGTTAATACAGCAAGTCTTGAAGTTACATTTCAAAAAATTCATTGATTTAAAGGTACTTCTCTGGAACAAATACAGTTCATATTGAGGCATATTGATCTTGGCAACTGATTACCTAAAAAGAGTACTGCAATTCTTATTTAAATGTACTTTCCTCAGTTTTTATTTTTGAGTACTGCATATTTTTCCTTCTTGAGACATTTCAGAAATTCCCTGAATTAATGGAAATGGAAAAAGATTTTATTATTTTTTTCCCTATATATCTTTAAACAGAATAGCCATTCCATATCATTTGACAGCAACAATATAATGTACCACCACTAATTCTTCTTGCACCATCAATCTTCTTTATTACTAGCAGCAGATAAGTAATCAAACACAGTAGCTCCTGACTAGCTATCAGAGAAACACTGAAAAATATTTCTTCAGATTTTTTTCTAGTTTGATCTTTTGTTAGGTTGAGAGCAGTTATACATTTCTGGAGAAATACTTTCCTTGAATATTCTGCTGCCAACAGCTCATCTGCAATGAATATAACCTTCCTTGCTCTTCTTTGCTCAGACACCCCTGATTTTACTTCCCCTGCCTTCGACAATGGGCTTTCATTGCCTGCTTCTAGCCCTACATTACAAAGCATTTCTTCAGGCACTGTTTCCAGCTCAAGCATACTTGACCACAATAATTGTCTCTCCCCTGAAATTGATGTCATGAGTGAATCCACTGAACTGACCCAACTCTCAACTTCAGGCCAAGATTCAGGTGGGTTGCCACATGCATGTCGGGTACTTGACAATTTTTGGATTGATCATATCCTCACAAATTAGGGATCTACTTTCAGAAAAGTACAACTGATTATTAACTCACAGCTAAACTTTCACTACATATTGCCAAGTGCTCTATCTGTGGATCTTGAAAAAATTATAAGTCTCACATGGATACAGCAAAGTTTATGGATGGATAAAATATCAAAACCAGAGTAGTTGGAATGGTAACTTTTATGTAAAGCAAGACAATGTGCAAACTGAGGAACTTTAAAAGGAAGAATAATCTCATAGCAACTGGCAAGGAAAGCAATTGGTTTTCCTTGTTAACATGGATTTGAGATAGCAGTTATAAACATTATAAAAGAAAGTTAATAATTTTCCTACCGTGTTTTCCTGAAAATAAGACAGGTTCTTATTTTATTTTGACCCTTGAAATAAGTGCTTGGCCTTATTTTGGGGAGGTCTTATTATTTTTGAGGTACAGGAGGCAGCAAGCATGGTCATCTCATGGCTACTGCTGCGTCCCAATATTTTCAGGGACGGCTTATTTTTGGGGGAGGGCATATTTTAGTTCATACGCTCCAAAGCCCAATTGGGCTTATTATCCGGGGAGGTCTTATCATGTGGACCAGTCAGCTAAAAGGTTTGTTATATCTGCCCTGCCGTGCTTATTTATTTTATTTATTTTTATTGAATCAAGTAACCAAAGAAATGTAACATGCACTATAGCAAGGGTCCCCAACACCTGGTCTGTGGACTGGCACTGGACTGCGGCATGCCAGAAACTGGTCTGTGCAAACAGGCAAAGCCTCATCCGCAGGATGCAGGTAGCACGTGAAACCATGCCCCCTCCGGTCCCTTTAAAAACATCTCCCATGGAACCCATCCCTGATGCCCAAAAGGTTGGGGGATGCTGCACTGTAGCATTTGATATATATTTTTTCTGGAAAGCAAAGAGAGGAACATATTCTCCAAGTGACTAACTCAGATTGTACCAAGAACCGTCTTTCACTGATTAAAACATATTGATTGGAGATGTGGGTGTGATGCTTATTTACTTGAAATCCTACCTTACAATTGATTTAGGTATATATAGAATATTCTATGGCATTTTCCTTTATCTTTGAAAAAAATATTATTTTAATAAACTAGCAAACTAAGACTCTAGATTTTGTTTTCTTAATAAGAGGCTTAGAACAGTTTTTACAATTTGTGAATTGCTTTAGTTAAACTCAATGATTTTTGTTTGTTTTTATTTTAGAACCCATTTCTCCTGATCGTAGTTCTAAATTGAGTGATAGAGACACTCCTCGGCCACTTCAAGGTTATAGTTCTCTTAAGGAACGTGAAAAAACAACTTGTTATTCTGCTGTGCTGGAACATTTCACGAAAATATTCCTATATTTTAGAAGAGCTGTGGTAATGTTAACTATATTTACAATTTTAATAAACATATCTCCTGATTTTGTTGAGCAAATAACGTTATCATCTTTGGCAAGAATATATTTATCAATTTCTAGTTTCTTGCTGCATTGTTGTTCTGTTTTTGAAGATAAGAACTCTAAGAAAACGATGTAGGATAATTTTAAACTATTTTTAGTTCATTCCCTCTCTTTTTCCAGTGATTCATGGAAGTCATTACTTGTCAGGTGCAATCTGTATTCATCTCCATACATGCTCTTTTATTTCAGAGCAAGAGGGAGCTGCATTATTATTAAAATAATCTGATTTTTTTCCAGGGCTGGAGATACAAGCCTATGAGAGCAATCTGAAATGGCTAGGTTGAAAATTAGCCTCTTTGGTGTCAATTGAGCTATACTGGAAAGACAATGGCTACTTCCAGTTTGAGAAATTCATTGCTTTGAGGAATTCACTTGGACGTGACACCAAAAAAATAATAATGAAGTGGTATTTATCACAGGAAGAAACTTATTGCAGCAATGGAAAATTTGTCAATGGTTAATGATTGAATTATAACAGCCAAATCTGTGTCAACTGCGTCAAACTATCACAGTTGTCCAAGTCTACATCCAACAATTAATGCAGCAGAGTTTGCAGTAGAAGTTTTCTAAGCTAGCATCAGAAAACTTTGAAGCAAGTGCTCAAAAAGAATATTGTTTAGATCCATGGGTTTTTACATAGGTGATTTTAATGCAAAGGTTGGTAGTCAAGCTGAAACTTGAATTACTAAAAGTTTTGGACTTGGGGAGAGAAATGATTATTTGCATCAGTTTTCTTTGCATTAATTTTGCCATAAAAAATGATTTTGAATCATGAATTTTACATTTGGATCTTATCAAATAGTTTGCACCATAACAAGATCAATTATGTCCTGTGCAGCCATCAACAGTGCATTTCAGTTGTTGCTGTCAAGACTATTTTGTGCCCATTGTAGTTCATATTACGAATTGTTGGCAGCTAAAGTCAGAGTTAACTTATGCGACATCAAAAGGACAGCACCATCCCAAAAGTTTGATATCACCCAAATACCTTCCATGTATGCAGCTGGGATTAAAAATATATTTGAACTGCTGGACACTGCTGAGAATATGCCCAATGCACTGTGGCAAAAAAAAAAAAATCAACCATCATTGATGCAGCAATTGAACATATGCTAAAATAAAAGCCAGAGAAAAAGCACAATTGGTTTTCATATGAAGCCATCAGAATAGGTGAGTGAAGAAAGGCAGCCAAAACAACTGGCAGACATTAGGGAGCAGAGAATTAATGTAAGTTTCCAAAAAGCAAGGAAAAATAACAAATTTTACTGGGACCAATGTTGCAAGCAGCTAGATGAGGACTGCATGAAGGGCCACACCAGAATACTTTGGTGCAAGTCAAAAAGGATTCATACATCATTTACTGCTCATAAAAGCATCTTCAAAAACAAACAAGGTAAAGATGTGTCTAACCAACAAGGTTTCAACAACAGATGGTGAGAATATAACAGAAGAACTGTATGCCAGCAACAAAGAGGCCAAGTTTCCTCTGGATGATAAGGAAAAGGAAGCAGAAATAGAACCTGACATCATTCAGGAAGAAGTCATGTGGGCATTGAGCCATCTGTCAAACAAGAAAGTCCCAGGTCTTGATTCCATCCCCATATAATTGCTGTGACCTGTATCACCCACAAGCATCATATTTTTGTGCTGGAAAATTAGGGAAACAAACACATGGCCACAGGATTCCAGTGGAAAAAATGATGACTCCAAGAATAGTTCCAATTTTTGCCCTCATCCTCACACTAGCAACCTGCCCAGAGTCACTTCAACAGTGAGATTGAAAGCATACAAATAAATAAATAATAAATAATGTGAATTCCAATTAATTTATATAATATCTGGTGCTGACTATCAAAAGAAAATAACCAGATGTTTAAGCTTGCTTCAGAAGAGGTCATAATGCTGAGGGCCATATTGCAAATCTACACTGGAGCACTGAAAAATTTCAGGAATATCAAAGAACATCTACCTCTGCTTTATTGACTACAAGAAAGCTTTCAACTGAAAGCTATGGAGAGCCCTAGAAGACCTGTGGCTGCCAACACATCTGCCACGTTGTTGTAGTCACTGAAAAAAATCAGGTAGCCACTGTGCAAACACATATAGAGACACTGATTGGTTTGAGAGGTAGAAAGATATGTGGCAAAGCTGCATTCGTTCACCTTTCTTTTTCAACTTGTATCCCAATATGATTTTGAGGAAACTGGAACTTGAAGAATCAAAAATAAAGATAATCCATTGGAAGAAGAAACATAAACAATCTTTGATAAGTTCATAACACAACTTTTAGCAACCAAAGAAGGATTGAAAGATCTGATCAAATGGATTAAAGAAGAAAGTTAGAAATTTGTCCACTTCTTGAATACCAAAAAGACCAAGTTTATGATAACTACAAAGAATGGAAATGTCAAAATAACAATTGATGGTGAAGATATCGAAGGCATGGAAGAACTCACTTTCCTAGAATTGCAGATTAATCAAAGTAGTAAATGCAGTCAAGAAATAAAGTATTTAATTGCACTGGGTTGTACAGTAATCAAGAGTATGAATTCAGTATGGCAAAGCAAGGATACGAATTTAACAACAAATGGAGTTTAGTAATAGGAAATGTAGGAAATAATGCTGTAGCTAAATTAAGTTGAATGGAATTTGCTTTTTTCTGTAAGAGTTTCTTTTTTTAAAAAAAACTTAAATACAACGTGGAACAACTGGAGTAGCTATTTTTAAACAGTTCTCTTTCCCGACACAGATAAATAAATAAAAGAGAGCAGAGTTAAAAAATAATACAACATTATATGTTCTTAGAAGTTCTTAAATGGTCACAAATGCTAATTGATCTACTGCTTGTTAGTTGTACAAGAATCAGCAGACAGCTGAAATAATTTCTAACTAGCTGATTGCAAAAGAAATCGAGAACTCTGATTTACATTTAACACAAAGTTATAGTTTGATGTTGATATAGCATGGTATGCTATGCACTCAATATGGATTAATATTAAAGCCACCAATCATTGTTGTTCAATAAATCATAGTTTTAAGAAAAAACTTGACTTTATAATAGCAATAGCACTTAGACTTATATACTGCTTCACAATGCTCTTACAGTCCTCTCTAAGCAATTTACAGAGTCAGCATATTGCCCTCAGCAACCTGGGTCCTCATTTTACCCACCTTGGAAGGATGGAAGGCTGAGTCAACCTTGACCCTGGTGAGATTCAAACTGCCAAACTGCTGATAATCGGCAGTCAGCAGAAGTAGCCTGCAGTACGGCATTCTAACCACTGTGCTACCACGGCTCTTATATAATAACAATAGCTTATCTAATAATATGTTTACTCAGTCATAACTGTTAGAGGAGGCTAAACCATACAGAAAAAGGAATAATAGTCATAATTCAGATTAGAAATTCATGATGGTTTAGGGCATTCATTCCAATATTATAGTTTATTCATAGACACAGGTGATTTAATTTAAAATCTAAAAGCTTTTATGGTAAGCTGCTAAGCTTTCTATAATAAGTATTAGGTGCAAATTAATTCAGAAAAATTGCTCCTAAACTGTGGCACTAGATACATATTAAAAGAGATGAGAAACATGGTTATTTCATTAAGCTGTGCGGGCACAGATTCTACACCTATTCCTCTACTGATTGATTGGTTCTATTTAGGCTTTGAATGTTTTGATTGCCAATATAGTGATGGTTGCATTTCAGTGTATGCTTTTTTATTGTAACTAATTTTTAATTGTCATTGTGGTATTGCTTTTGTGAACTTGTTTTATCTATATTAGCCCAAATGATGAATTTGTAGACTTACAATTGTAGGTGGTTCAGTTATAGATTGGTTGACTGGAATGGGAAACAAACAAACAAACAAACAAACAAATAAATAAACAACTTACATAAACAAATATCTTGCTCAGTATTTCTTTAGATCTCTGTCCTAGGTAGTTCTAGCAAAACAGTTATAATCTATGTGAAATATATTCCAACTAGTATCTTAAGAAAGTGAAATAGTTTATTCAGTAGAGTTCTTACATATGAACACACTTAAGTTTGAAGTTCTTTATAAATGAAAATATGATTTATAGTTACTATTTAAATCACTGTGATGTGTCCAACTCCCACTCATTAATTGTGCATTTGATAAATATAATTCAGGTTCTTGCCCATCGGGGTCGCCACTGGACATTGCTTCAGAATGCCTGCCGAGAGCTTTGGAACTATACTAGGGAAATACAAATGATTATTAAGCATTCAGGATCTTTTCAAGCACCATTTCCTATTAACAAGGAGATTTTTCTTAAGACCATTTGGTTTCCATACTTTATGGCATCAGATGTATTGCTTGATATGATAGCTGAGCTTCAAGATAACAATTATGTTAAGGTAAATATATTTTTACTTCTGCAATTAACATAATGCATGTTTTTATATTTTGAAGTAACCGAACAAAGATTAGCAATGTTTAATTCATTTCAATTGTGTATATTTTTTCTGTGCCTTTACATTTAAAAATATTATTTAGAAATAAATAAATACTTTATGTGCAATATGATTAAACTGTTTTTCTTATTTACATCTCATTTCTCAAGGAAGGTAAATGTTTTGTGAAAATCTGATGCAGCAGTCTTCTTGTACTAGGTTTTGTTTATTTTGTATGCTCCCAGAAGGGAGGATTTTTTTAAAAAAACAAAGAAACAAACTAAGGTAACACCTAAGAAAATTTTGGGAGGATGGGAACATGGATTTGCAACAATGCACTGAAAGACCGTTGGCTTACCTGAACGATCGTTCTCGGGGCACTGCGAGGAGAATCCAATGCTGGGTTAACACAGCCTATCTGCCCTTGGACTGAGTGACGTTTTTAGTTGACCACGCCTTCCTTTGCCTCTGCATGCTCAGTTCGAAAACTCAGTCCGCCCGTTAGGACTGTTTTGGAGAGCTCCAG